ATCTCCCTTTCACTCACCATTTTCCGACCAAACCAACTTTCTCCTCCGAAAATCTTCATCATCAAGTTTCAAAAACAAAACTCTCGTTCGCCAACAAACAAGCACCGTGACAACCTTCGAAACACTCTCCCCACCCAGAAAACTCATTCTGCAACACAAATCACAAACTCCATTAATCACCTCCGAAATCCCTCAACACAACCGTCACTGCAACCAACTCAAACTCCATGATTCAACCCGTCGAAACACCCATTTTTTTTATCTGAAATCACTTCGAACCCTAACCACCTTTGTTTCCACAACCGTAACCCATCTGACCAACAACCGTTTTCACCATCTCCAACAACCCACAAACAGAACCTTTACTAACTTCATCGTCAAACACAAACCCACCCATCCGCAAATCTCCAGATTCCTCGAACCCCTTTCCACCTCAAAATACCCTTCATCAAAACCCCCAACATTCCTTCTCAAAATCCTAGATCTGAAACTCACAGAAAACGGAACTAGAAAGAAGATGTTGGAAGGGATTCAGAAATTGAATGAAGAAAGAAGAAGCATACGCGATGATGGAGGATCTTTCTTCTGAGCATGTGGTTTTGTTGAATCGTGGATTAAATTTGGTTGTTGATTGCTTTCTACCTTTTCGTTTCCTTCGTGCGTATCCTAATCGTGAGAGGTGGCAAATTGGTTTGGGATTTTCATGACCTGTGTTTTTTCTTCACTCAACCTGACCCGACCGGCCCATAACAAAGGCTTAGGCCCATCACTCATACACCCACCGTGTTGCATTGACATACACCCCCCTTTCTATTATTTTATTTAGTATGTAAATATATTACTAATTAATTATAATGTATATATTAATTTTGTATATATTATATTTTGTTTTAGTTTTTTTTTAAAAAATAGTTTGTATATATATATTATTATTTCCTTTTTATTTTCTTTTAGAATATATTATGTTAGTATATTATTTTTTTTTAGAGTTTTATATTATTTTCTATATTAGTTTTATTAATTTTCTTTTAGAAGTTTATGCCTTTTATTTTTAGAGTTGAATCCCATTTCTCTTTTGTTATTGGACATTTTTGTCCCATTTTCCGTTTTGGTCGATGACGAGACCTCCGTAATTCATTACCAGTCAAATTATTGATAAGTAATGTTGGATCTGAGACCACCTCTTTTCCCTCCTCGCTTCTTATCCCAACTCGATTCAAAAACATTGACAAACCATCTTCAATATCCAATCATCTTTGTATTGAATTAAAAAGAGGGGATTAAGTGTAGACTTTCTTCCTCTCCGAGTGTTGGGATGCCCACTGTGTCGCTACTCGAAAAATGCATCGTGCAACGACGGGGAGGCGAAAAGAAAGGACAGAAGAGTCGCCACCGAACTTTATTTATCCCATGAGGGGAAAGGAAAATATCGAGAAAACCTTAAGAAAGAAATGGATAAGATGGTCTCGCGACCAAGAACGGGTTCGGAAGCCGGTTATGCGAAGGGAAGGTATTAGCACCCCTCGCATCCATCGTACTCGATGGGAACCTTTTGTTTGTCGATGTGTGAATTTATTTGCTTAAATATTATGCTATAATAAGTGTTCCACGGAGTAAAAGAAAGGTTAGAAACAAGAAAGTTAGGAGGAAAGAGAGAACGGGGAAGAAAAGAGAAAGAACAGACTCGGTAGGACTTCGCAGTCCTATGCCTACGTATTCTCAATAGATGTGAGAAAGTCAGAGTCGACGTAGTTCGGGGAACTACAGATATGGGGGGAAAGTGCTCGACAAGGATTGTGGCCCTTGTGCCTACGTATCTTTACTTGAAAGAAGTAAAGAATCAGAGCAGCCGTAGTTCGGCCTACGGTGTGCGGGGAAGTCTTGGTAGACGCTGCTATCGTGCGCATTCTAGCAGTTAGGTGCATTGCTGCTCGCTCGTTGGAGACTTAGGCGTTACCTGTTTGCGGTAGAACGGACGTAACATATCCTTTTTGAAAGATTGATTAGTTTTCGCCACGCGGGGCAAGAAGTCACGTTTGATTTGTTGAATTGTTTTTAGGGGGCGAGACATGTCCTCGGATAGTAACCCCTACGGGTAGTACCCAATTCGTTATCTCAAAGTTTTTGTTATAAAAAGGTGTGGCGAACGAGGCGTCTTTGTATTGAAAGACGAGCGTCGAAACCACCCTCACTACAGTGGGCATCCTTACGCTCGGAGAAGAAGAGGTCTACACCCAATCCTCTTTCTTTAATTCAATGCAAAGAGAGTTTCGTTCTCTTATTAAAGATGTTTTTGGTTTTGAATGGTAAGTGCTTTGCGACAGAGAACCCTACGGTAAACGTCAGCACTCGGGATAGGAGAAGGCCTACGCCTAACCACTCCACGACCATTCAAGTTTTTGTTAAAATGATTTTGAAAATACACTCGGTACGGGACCGAGGTTTTAGGTGACAAGGGTTACGAAATGAAGTTGTGAAAGGAGAGGTAGATAAAGTCGCATCTTTGTATTGAAGGACGAGTATCGAGACCACCCTCACTACAGTGGGCATCCCTACACTCGGAGAGGAAGAAAGTCTACACTTAATCCCCTCTTTTAATTCAATACAAAGATAATTTGATTTATTACTGAAAGTATACTCGGTACGAGACCGAGGTTTTATGAGGAAATGTTGGAAGCGTCTTTGTATTGACAGACGAGCATCGAGACCACCCTCACTACAGTGGGCATCCCTACGCTCGAAGAAGAAGAGGTCTACACCCAATCTCCTCTTTTTAATTCAATACAAAGATAATTTGATTTTGAAGATTGTTTGACAATGTTTTTGAATCGAGTCGGGACAGGAAGCGAGGAGAGAAAAAAGGTGGTCTCAGATCCAACATTACCTATCAATAATTTGACTGGTAATGAATTACGGAGGTCTCGTCATCGACCCATACAAGGAAAATGGGACAAAAGGCCCAATAACAAAAGAGAAAGAGATTCAACTTCAAAAATAAAAATAAAAACTTCTAAATACTATATTCTAAAAAATATGGAAATCAAATAATATATACAATCAATATATGATATAAACTCTAAAAATAATATATAATTTAAAATGTAGACTATAAACATGTTAGATAAAAGAAAATAATAAAACAACAATTCAATATGTATATACATAATAACTAAATACAATATATATAATAATAATATAATAATAATTAAATAATTTACTTTTAATTTAAAATAAGTAAATAAAAAAAAAACAAAGAAAAGAACGAAGACAGGGGGGCGGCGGCTCGAACCTTCTCAAAATGAATTGGGATTTGACCCAAACCTAGTTTAACGTTTAAATCAAAAGAACAAAATGGAAATCTTCCTGATATCCAAACACGGCCCCTGTATTGAACCAAAATCTCAGAAAATCAATTCCCCAATTTGTACAAATCATGATCCTTCTCCTCCAAAACAAAATGAAAACAAGAAAAACGGTGTATGCAGGACATATTCGTCGAGCTTCAGTCGTCTTCCCCTTTAATTTCTCACCGTCCTCGCTCGATCTGCTTATGTTCGCCGCTGAGATTACCGGTTTGAATCCTTCTCTACATTTCACTTGTTCTTTGTTTCATCTCTCCTTTCGTTTCTGGTTTTCACACTCTCCGATCTGGACTTATTTTTAGGATTGGGTGAATACTGAAAGTTGTAGAAGGTTGAATGGGGTCAGGTTATGGGTTGAAGACGGATTGAGGAAGAAGAATAGGTTGAAGATGAAGAACATAATTTTTTGGGGGGTGAGTTTGGGTTGAATTTGAGTTGAAGAGTTGCGGTTCGTATGTTGTTGTTGTGAAGGAAATTAGTGAAGCAGTGTTTTAAAGAGGGATGAATATCGCCTGGTCATGGAACGAGCAAGGTGATGCGTATGGTATAGTTCGAATGGGATTGCACACCATGTGTTTGTGAAAATGACCTCCGTTTTCGCTTTTGGAACTGCTTGGTCACAGGTTGGTTTCAGCTTGCGGTGGATGGTCACCAGCTAGTGAGTGTATCAGTTGTTTGGTTGGGTGATAGAATAGCAGAAATATCCTCTAGGAGAACCAGTTATCGAGATTACTTTTGGAGTTTGAGTTGGCGCGAGACGCGGTGTGAGGAGATGGATTTCTGAAAGGTGATTGAAGTTTGTTGATGAAGTTCTAAAGAGGAATGGTGATATGTTAAAGAGATTGGAGTATGTTATTGTGAGTAAGGAGTGATGGTTTATATTCTTGAAGTGTAGTTTGTGTGAATGATTCAAGATGTGATGTGTATGTTTTTTTGCAAGTGGTCGTTTTATTGTGTTTTGAGGGATGGTTTTTTACAGGCTGCTGTTGTTAGCAGAGTATGCTTGTGTAGCAGAGTGCAGCAGGCCGGTACAGCTGGTGCAGAGCTTGTCTGGCATGGCTGTTTGTCTGGAGTGGCTTTGGTGCAGGTACAACTGCTGTGTATTGTTTATGCAGGTGTGTGGGTTGGTTGTGCAGAGTAGTTGTCTGGCGGTACGGTTTGCAGCTGGCCATTTTGCTTGTGGCAGGTTGTTGTCTGGTGTGGGAGGAGTTAAAGCAGGGATAGCAGAATGGTTGGTCTGGTGTGAGTTTGTAGCAGGGTAGTGGTCCTGCTGTGTTGCTTTCCAATAACAGGTTTTAATGCAGGGAATTGCAAAATGTAAGGGTGGGATTTTGGCAATTATCGGAAGTGCAGGAATTTGGCAGCAGATGGGTTTTTAATACCTTGTACAGGATGTACACAGAAAGCAGGTTTGGAATTTGGCTTGTTGCTTTTTTATTATGGCCGATGTTCATTGAGCTTATGCTATCACTTTGTGTATGTGCAGGTTTTGTCTTGAGATGAATTTCAAATTGTTTTTGATCAATAATTGATACAAGGTCCATTGGAATCAAATCTTTTGGTAAACTTGAAACGTCTTCTACTTTCAAATTGTATGTTGAGCGAATTCTCTCGGCTTCACAGTCAGCTGCCTCAGCTTCAGCAATTTATCAAAGGTGCCTTTACTTCTGAATATTTCTCAGCAGTGCTTGGAGTATGGACCTGTGGCATCTGCCGATTTTCGGTATGAGTAACGTGTGCGGTTTTTCTATTGACTAATGGAGACTTGACTTCGTCTTCCGGCATCACGAGGCGATCCTTGAGCGGTGTTAGTCCTCTGTTCACGCTGTTAGATTTGAAATGTGATGGTATGAATTGAGTGAATGTGCTAGCCAATGCTTCAAAGGATAGCTTAGAAAGATCGGCAATAAGTTGTCCAAAAGATGGCCATCCGGGATCTTCTTTACTGCTGTCCGGGATTGGCATGTGTTTCTCGTTGCTTGGTTGCCCTTTAAACTCTCCTCTCGAGTGTCTTGTTTTTGAGAAGAAAGAGGATCCAAATCCCTGCTGAAGCATGCATGTAGCATATCCAACCAAAACCGCACCAACGATGGTAAGGATATCTGTGCTGGAAATTGAACTAGATTGGTAATCACAGTCGTCCTGGTTAAGAATAATTTGTCGAAGAGCAGCATTCCCTCTATCAATGACCAGCAATGAACAGGTTGGATGAACATAAACCACGTCGAAATCATTTGAGAACTTAGCATCCTCACTAGGCCCATCCCTGTAGCCAGCAACATTTGACTTTCCTCCAGCGATGGTTGTGACGCCAGCATCTCCAATCTTTCTAATTGCAAGATTCTGAGTATCAGCAACATAAACATTCCCTTTATCATCCATAGTAATGCCTTTGGGATGATTAAACCGAGCACCACTAGGCTTTCCATCGACATGATCAGTGTAGCCCTGAAACGACCCAGCTACCAATCTTCCTCTACTATACTGAGATAATGGCGGGGTAATTCGAACAATGTTGCTATTAATTTTATCAACAGCAAAGAGTTCACCATCCTCTTCAGAGACGCGGATCCGATAAGGGATAACTCCAATCTCATTTCCTTCCACAACAGTCTCAACTACATAACCATTCTCAAATTGAAGAACATTCCCATCTGATTGTGGCATCTTGGTGGCAGACCTTGTCCATTTGATAAGTGAAGACAAATGCTTAATCAATGGACCTGCAGGAGCAGCGTGAGCTTGAAAATGGAGAGAGAAAGTGGAAGCAAGTAGAATGAGAGCATAGAAGAGTGGAGTGTGAGTTGCCATAGTTGGTTTGAGATGATGAAGAAACTACGTCAAGTGAATTCTTCTTCTTCTTCAATTGCCACAAACACAGCTGCAAAACACTCTTTGCGTCTCTCTCTCTAAAAAGTGCTTTTTTTGTGAGCAACTTTTTTAACTTTGTTTTAGTAGCATTTACGCGGAAAGTGAGTTTTTCGAGGAAGTGCTTTTACTCCTCTATGTGTGTTTTTTTTTTAATTTTGTAATACTTTTGTACATTTTGGTGAATTATGGTGGGCTTCAAGAATTTCAAAATGGGCTTGAACAAAAAGAAACACATGGGCTTTGATTTCTCTTTGGCAGCAAATCTTGAATCGGACTAAAATTGGCTTAATTTGAAAATGAATATTGAATAATAACGTGCTTGACTTGAACCAATAACAAACCCTTTATTGTCGGGACCTTGACTTTGCTCTCTAAGAAACGGATCCCAAAAATGAATAGATTTTACACATACAACCATTTGGAGTAATGATAAACCAATCGCTCACTATGAAACAAATAAGCAGTAAATGACCGCACTATAACTGCACCATAAAACCCTGATTGAAATTCCCAGATCTCACATGATTCTTCATCGTGAACTTAACACAACCTGATATATGGGTTCACATGTAGCTGTTTTGATTTGACACATAAACCATAACTGCAACCTCAAATAAGCACCTTTGAATTGATACACCTTGACTTGACAAACCACTAATGAACCTCCATCCAACTTAGCAACAACATGATTTCGGTCAGCAAGGAGAAATGAAAGAAACAACATATTTTTATTTTTCTGCCCCTGACAATCACATATGCTTATCTGTTTGTCTTTAAGGATCTTGACTCGTCTCTGATAAGGGTAACCACTTGGTGACTTGAATATAACCTCCTTGATCAGGTTAAAAACCATTGGTAATTTTGTTAGACACACATTTCTTGATCCCCTGTGAAATGCAAAATGCTATGCAATGCAATGCTTACGTATATGCTGATGCAATGAAATAAAACATAAGCCAGAGAGGTCGGTCAAATTTTGGGGTACAACAACTGCCCCTATTCAAACGACTTAGACTTGAAGGGATGAAAGGTAAGCGACTTTCATACAATCAAGGTAAAAGACGGTTGAATACCCAAGGACCCGGAAATTTGACAACCGCGATACGAACTTCTGACATTGCCGCCAGGCACCCATATTAAGTAAAACGTCTGACCTCGCCGTCAGCTCCTTTAACAGCATCTAACCTTGCTGTCAGATCTCAGCGTCAAAATTATAAATCAACTGACTTTATCGTCCAATTTACAATATTTTCTGACTTCGCCGTCAAAATTTTTACAAAATTGTCTTCTGACTTCGCCGTCAATTCCCATATTAAGTGGAACATCTGACTTCACCGTCAGTCATAAATCAAGTAAACATCTGACCTCGCCGTCAATTCTCATATAACCTGACTTCACCGTCATCTCTTAAAACAATCTTCTGACTTCGCCGTCATTTCCAACAGCTTTGACTTCGCCGTCAATTCTTAAAACAATCTCCTGACTTCGCCGTCATGACAAAATCCAACATCGCCGCCAGAAACAAACATCTAGCATCGCTGCTAAAGAATCAAACCACTCGACCTCGCCGCCGGGAACAAACATCTAACTTTGCCGTTGAACAAACGAATCACTCTGACATCGCCGCCAGAAACAAACATCTAGCATCGCTGCTAAAGAATCAAACCACTCGACCTCGCCGCCGGAAACAAACATCCAACTTCGCCGTTGAACAAACGAATCACTCTGACATCGCCGCCAGAAACAAACATCTCAACATCGCCGTTGAAGAATCAAACCACTTGACCTCGCCGCCGGAAACAAACATCTAACTTCGCCGTTGAACAAACGAATCACTCTGACATCGCCGCCAGAAACAAACATCTAGCATCGCTGCTAAAGAATCAAACCACTCGACCTCGCCGCCGGAAACAAACATCCAACTTCGCCGTTGAACAAACGAATCACTCTGACATCGCCGCCAGAAACAAACATCTCAACATCGCCGTTGAAGAATCAAACCACTCGACCTCGCCGCCGGAAACAAACAAGTCACTCTGACATCGCCGTCAGAACAAACTTTCAACCTCGCCGCTGAACAAACAAATCAGTCTGACATTGCCGCCAGAAACAAACATCCAACCTCGCCGCTGAACAAACAAATCAATCTGACATCGCCGCCAGAAACAAACATCCAACCTCGCCGCTGAACAAACAAATCACTCTGACATCGCTGCCAGAAACAAACATCTCAACATCGCCGTTGAAGAATCAAATTACTTGACATCGCCGTCAAGACTTCGCTAAATATAAGCGAGCAACAAGATTCACGATATTAAGACCACTCATTGATGATAATCACAAAAGAACTCCGCTGGGGAAGAGAGGCTTAACCAAACAACTATGGCAGGGAGGAAACGAGAGAAACTCAACCAAGTAACTCCGTTGGGTAATACATAATAAGATGATGTTGCGCCATGGTCTAGATACCATTTTGGCTAAAGGTAACATTCACGTTGTCAGAGTCTGAATACTCGAGGGAAATTGGAGCCTGGATGCTCAAGGCAAATCTGAGCCTGGATGCTCTATGCAACAAACCTGAGTCTGGATACTCAATGGACAAAAGAGATCGGTAACTGCCATGGTCTGAATACCACACAGGCAAAGATGACATATCAATTTGCCATGGTCTGGATACCATATAGGGCTAGAAACAAAATCATCAACCGAAGTTCGACGACGTTGCTGGGGAGAAACGTAAGCCGGGGTCTAGATACCATGCGGGCTGACAAAAAGTATTATGGTCTGGATACCAATCTTCAACTTGCCATGGTCTGGATACCATATAGGCACAAATATCAACCAAAATTTGCCAGGTCCGAATATCACGCGGGCAACATAATTCAACCATCTGCTAAAAACACATATGAGAACAGAGCGGTAACCACCTGGTTTATGTTTCAAATGCATATGTTTGAGAATGGCGTAATGCTCCATGCGAGGTGGAAATGCTACGCGTTTAGGTAGATGCTATGCACGTATGTTGATGCAAATGAGCCACTTTAGCAAAATAAATGCTAAAGAGAAAAGAGCCAACTTCGTTGGGTCAGAGCTAGGTACGCCTAGCGCAAACAAACTCATGCTGAGGAATACAAGCCCTGGATGGCCTCCGAGAAAAACTTCTGGGTGAAACTGCTCTGCTGAGAATAAATCCACTTCGCTGGGGATCCAAATCAAACTCTACTGCGGAAAACGTCCCAGATGGCCTATCAGCCTACAACTCTTCTGGGGATCAAGCAACTTGGCTGGAGGCAACAACTCCACTCTACCGGGGAAATCAACTATGAATGATTAGCCAGAATAATTCTACTGGGGAAACACAGCAGATTGCTGAGGAATAGCTTCATTCTGTCGGATATTGAATCCGCTATCTGCTAGGGATTTTGAATAAGACTTACTGGGAGCTTATCCCAAACTATCTCTGCTGGGGATGGAGATAAACAATTTTTTTTTTGAGTCAGTTCCACTCTGTGGGGAAGGAAATTAACTCCGCTGACTTGGCTGGGGTTTAGATAAGGAGGGAATTAACATCAATCTCTGCTTGGGGAAAATGAGAAGTAAACTTCAACAATACTTCCGTTTGAGGAATGAGTCAATGACCTAGACTCTGAGGGGAAAGAAGTCAATTGTTCATACTCTGTAGGGATAACAGTACTGCACTCGCCTCACTGCTGGGGAAATAAACCCAAATCTGCTTCTATAACTCTGATAAGCTCTGAAGATATGGAGAGGAACACATCTCCTTTGTTTACGATTTTGCCCCAGCCTGTGGGACTTTTGTAAAAACCTTCCTCGAAAGGAGACCTGAAATTTCGGTACCCTGATGGTTAGATATGAACTGCCTCAACACTTCGAACCCCGAAGAATTGCTTCAAGTCAATTTCCTTTCTGGATAAGGATAGTTGTCGTGCTCCTGGGGTGGCCTGCCCCAGCTTTGAAGTGATTTTGCCCCTGATTGGCTGAATTGGAGAAGTGCCTTTGACTTCGAGAGATTTGCTTAATCTCGACCTGATTGCCCCAGATTAACGGACCTTAGGGAATGGCGCCTTCGACTGGCCTTCGAGTGGTTTGATGAATCTCAACCTGATTGCCCCAGATTAACTGCATCTAGGAATGACCGACTCTGCTTACGTTTACCTGACGTGACTTACCCCTGCTCGAAGGAGTACTCGGATGCTTTATATCTTATTTCTATCAAACTTTGCATTGTAGAAACTTTCCTGATGTCAAATGCTTTCTCGCGAGTAAAACAAATTGTTTTGCAAAAGATAATATTAATGCAATGCATATGACAGTTTTGAAATCCAAGTCTGGTCACTGGAAAAAAGTTGTGGCATTTAGTGAATGAATCACTTATCGGAATGTCAATATCAATACCCATAGGGTAAGAAAATCCTTTTAGGAGTCAGTTTCGACGCGATCTTCACCGAAGTATTCTTTCGAAACAAACTTGCTTCAATTAGGACTTTTTGAAGGTTGTAACTTGGTTAGGTTCACGGTTTGAAAAAAAGATGTAAGGCTCGAAGTTCTGTTTAACCCACCCACTCTCCTTAATACTCTCCAATCCTATGTTCAGCTAATTCGACACAAGCATTCACCTCTCAAAGGTTGAATGACTGGAGTGATGGTTCGGGAAACCACAAGTTTTTTTTTTTTTTAAGTGACAGCCACTAGCTTTTCGTCTTTGGTGCCTGGAGTCACACGACTTATTTTTCATCATCATTCATTCCCTATTTTTTTCTGGACTGACACTTTTGAGTACATCCTCTTTCGAAGTCCGACGGGATGCCCTAATTTTGCCTAAGCCATTTGTTTTCAAGTTATCGACTTAGCGGGCTTTCATTTTTTCTTTCTTTTGATTCTTTTTTTTTTGTTGAACAAATCGTATGACACCGGCTTGT